TAAACCAGACTGGCACATGCAGCAGTTAATCATTTTTTTCAAAAACTTTGAGTAGGCAGCATGTGAGTGCAATAGGCCTGTAACTACTTAACGAAGAGACATTTTTGCCCTGCTTAAGGATTGGTAGGACTGTTGCCTCTTTTCAAGCAGGGGATATTTCGCCTGTACTATTGAAAATCTTGGTGTAAAGCGCTAAAAGGCATTTCAGGGTTTCATCAGAGAGATTTCCGATCATTTCATAGGTCATCATCATCATCATCAGCCTGACTACGTCCACTGCAGGACAAAGGCCTCTCCCATGTTCCGCCAGTGAACCCGGTCCTGTGCTTGCTGCTGCCAATTTATACCCGCAAACTTCTTAATCTCATCTGCCCACCTAACCTTCTGTCTCCCCCTAACCCGCTTCCCTTCTCTGGGAATCCAGTCAGTTACCCTTAATGACCAGCGGTTATCCTGTCTGCGCGCTACATGCCCTGCCCATGTCCATTTCTTCATCTTGATTTCAGCTATGATATCCTTAACCCCCGTTTGTTCCCTAATCCACTCTGCTCTCTTCTTGTCTCTTAAGGTTACACCTACCATTTTTCTTTCCATTGCTCGCTGCGTCGTCCTCAATTTAAGCTGAACCCTCTTTGTAAGTCTCCAGGTTTCTGCTCCGTAGCTAAGTACCGGCAAGATACAGCTGTTATATACCTTTCTCTTGAGGGATAGTGGCAATCTACCTGTCATAATTTGAGAGTGCTTGCCGAATGTGCTCCACCCCATTCTTATTCTTCTAGTTACTTCAATCTCGTGGTTCGGCTCTGCGGTTATTACCTGCCCTAAGTAGACATAGTCTTTTACAACTTCAAGTGCACTATTACCTATCTCGAAGCGCTGCTCCTTGCCGAGGTTGTTGTACATTACTTTCGTTTTCTGCAGATTAATTTTAAGGCCCACCTTTCTGCTCTCCTTGTCTAACTCCGTAATCATGAGTTGCAATTCGTCCCCCGAGTTACTCAGCAATGTAATATCATCGGCGAAGCGCAGGTTACTAAGGTATTCTCCATTGACTCTTATCCCTAACTGCTCCCATTCTAGGCTTCTGAAAACCTCGTGTAAGCACGCGGTAAATAGCATTGGGGAAATTGTGTCCCCCTGCCGTACACCCTTCTTGATTGGTATTCTGTTGCTTTCTTTATGAAGCACTATGGTAGCAGTTGATCCCCTGTAGATTTCTTCCAGAATGTTTATATACACTTCATCTACGCCCTGATTCCGCAGTGTTTGCATGACGGCTGATATTTCTACTGAATCAAACGCCTTCTCGTAATCTATGAAGGCTATGTATAGTGGTTGGTTATACTCTGAGCATTTCTCTATTACCTGATTGATAGTATGAATGTGGTCAATTGTTGAGTAGCCTGTTCGAAATCCTGCTTGTTCCTTTGGTTGATTGAATTCTAATGTTTTCTTTACTCTGTTAGCAATTACCTTTGTAAATAGCTTGTATACTACAGAGAGCAAGCTGATCGGCCTGTAATTCTTCAAGTCCTTGTCATCTCCTTTCTTATGTATTAAGATGATGTTAGCGTTCTTCCAAGACTCTGGTACTCTTCCCGTCAGGAGACACCTCGTAAACAGGGTGGCTAGTTTTTCTAACACAATCTGTCCTCCATCTTTCAGCAAATCTGATGTTACCTGATCCTCACCAGCAGCTTTGCCCCTTTGCATGCTCTCCAAAGCTTTTCTGACTTCTTCTATCATTACTGGTGGGGTGTAATCTGGGTTACTGCTAGTTCTTATAGTATTAAGGTCGTGGTTGTCTCGGCTACTGTACAGATCTCTGTAAAACTCCTCCGCTATTTTAACTATCCTATCCATATTGGTAGTTATTTTGCCTTCTTTGTCCCTTAGTGCATACATCCGACTTTTGCCTATCCCAAGTTTCCTCTTCAATGCTTTGACACTTCCTCCGTTTTTCAGAGCGTGTTCAATTCTCTCCATGTTATACCTTCTTACATCGCATACCTTACGTCTATTAATCAACTTCGAAAGCTCTGCCAGTTCTATTTTGTCTGTTGTACTTGACACTTTCATGATTTGACGCTTCTTAATTAGGTTTTTCGTTTCTTGGGAAAGCTTGCCAGTGTCCTGTCTAACTACCCGGCCTCCAACTTCCACTGCACACTCCGTAATGATACTCGTCAGATTATCATTCATTGTATCTACGCTAAGGTTGGTTTCCTCACTAAGAGCCGAATACCTGTTCTGCAGCGACACTCTGAATTCCTGTACTTTCCCTCTCAGTGCTAGCTGATTGATTGGCTTCTTGCGTATCAGTTTCTGTCGTTCCTTCTTCAAGTCTAGGCGAATTCGAGACCGTACCAATCTATGGTCACTGCATCGTACCTTGCCAATCACTTCCACATCCTTAACGATTCCAGGGTGTGCACTCATTATAAAGTCTATTTCGTTCTTATTTTCACCATTAGGGCTCCTCCATGTCCCCTTGCGGTTTTCTCGTTTTCGGTAGAAGGTATTCAAAATCCGTAAATTATTGCGTTCTGCGAATTCTACTAGTAGCTCTCCTCTGGCGTTTCTAGTACCGATGCCATAATCTCCTACTGCCTGGTCTCCAGCCTGCTTCTTCCCTACCTTTGCATTAAAGTCGCCCATCACCATAGTATACTGTGTTTTTACCTTACTCATTGCCGATTCCACGTCTTCATAGAAGCTTTCAACTGAAGCGTCATCATGGCTGGATGTAGGCGCGTAAGCCTGTACTACCTTCATTTTGTATCTTTTATTCAGTTTAATTACAATACCTGCCACCCTTTCATTAATGCTATAGTATTCCTCTATGTTGCCAGCTATGTTTCTGTGAATTAGGAACCCCACTCCCAGTTCTCTTCTGTCTGCCAAGCCCCTGTAGCAAAGGACGTGCCCATTCTGTAGCACCGTATAGGCCTCATCTGTCCTCCTAACCTCACTGAGCCCTATTATATCCCATTTAACACCCTCTAGCTCCTCGAATAGTACAGCTAGACTTCCCTCACTAGATAAGGTTCTAGCGTTAAACGTTGGCAAGTTCAGGTTCCAATGGCGGCCTGTCCGGATCCAGAGATTCTTAGCACCCCCTGCTGCGTTGCAGATCTGACCGCCGCCGTGGTCAGTTGCTTCGCAGCTGCTGGGGACTGAGGGCCGTGAGTTATTTGACGTAAGCATGTGGGAGGTAGTGGCCAGATACTGCACCAGGGTGGCCAATCCTTCTCTGGTGAGGGAGTGCGTTCTCGGCGGTGTTTGCCGGTGAGGCCGCACCCCAGGCCTCCTAATGCAGTTCCATCAACACGCGGATTTTTTTTTTTTTAATCCGGTTTTTTTTTTTTTTAATCCGGTTGGGAACTGCGCGGTACCGGAATTTGAACCACGGACCTCTTGCATGCGAGGCGGATGCTCTAATCACTACGCCATTGCTGCTCCCATTTCATAGGTAACTGTATCAAAACCAGGGGCAAAACTTCCACAGGAACCAAGGGAAAGTCTCAGTTCATGTAGTGTTAGTGGTTTATTGTATCCGTGAGATATAGGCTTGTTACGGCATAGACGTACACTTTCAGCTATACTTTTGTGGCGCAAGAACCGAGCGGTATAATTTTCTGAGCTTGATATTTTCTCGAAGTGTTCGCCAAGAGCGTTTGCCTGTTTTTCTATTGTATCCCCGCAGTCATTCACCAAAGAGAAGAGATTTGGGCCTTGTCCTTTAAGTTTATGCACCCTATTATACACCTTGCTGGCGTCTGTGTAAGAATATATTGAAAATATGTAGTTTGTCCAGCTTTCCCGATTGGCTATAGGGCGAATGCGCCTGCCATTCGCTTTGCACCTTTTAGAGTTTATCAAGTTTTCTGCTGTTGGCTAGCGGTTGGAATAGTCCTCCATGCTTTGATTTGTCGTTTTTTAGCAATTTCACACTCACAATTCCACCATGCCTTTGTGTTAACCTTATCATTGCTGGACTGCGGTATGCACTTTTTTTGCTCAAGTAAGAACATATTTGAAGATATAGTGGGCCATCTCTTCTACTTCCAAACAGTCTACCTCTTCGAGGCGTAGTGTATATAGCTCTCTAAATTTTACCCAGTTTGCAACATGAAAGTTCCACTTTTTAGGATAAGATGGTCGGTCATCCCGTTGTCTTGTTATTAAAAGAGTTGGAAAATGGTCACTTTCATATGAATTATGAATAACTTTCCAATCTAAGTAAGGTAGGAGTGACGGTGACCCAATTCCTCATACTTTGGAAAAATTTGAGCAAAATTTCATGCAGATGAAAGTGTGAACGGGCCTTCTTCCATAGGACAAGCTGCGTTGTGCCGTTCGCAGGCAGCAATGAATCATGTGTTCACATCATCCGTGGTGACTGGGGAAACAAGTCATATAACACCAAATAACGGCGTATTTTATATAATGTAGTCCATCTGAAGCAACCTTAAAACTCGTATCATCGCGAAATTCGCATCAACCATAATCATATCACCAAGATTCTACTGTATTCAAATTTCCACCGCCGTCATATGCTCCATGAAAATTGCTCTGTTGCAATGCTGCCTTGGAAATATATGAAAGGTCCTCTTACCCTCATCAATAAATTGTTAAAAGTTTGCACTTCAAGAGTCATTGTGCCCTTTATTTCGTCCCATCCTATGCTCAACATCACTCATCTTAATGAAAAAAACAATCCCATGTGGAAACTCTTTAGTGGGTGCCCTAACAAAAATGCATGCATGCTCTTTCTATAGAATTGTGTGCACATATCATGGCTCGAAAATGAATTGTGCTAGTTCTTTGGTGACACAAAACTCAAGGCGATACCCGTAGAGGGAAAAAGCATGTCAATGGGAGGCACATTATTATGGCACACTACAGCGAAAAAATAGCAACATAAAGCCCAACACGCCACTTTTTAACTGAGGCACAATCTTTTCACAGAGCTCCTACAATGGAGTGAGCGAACACACCTCTTCCACAAGGTGCTCTGGTGGTAGCTGCTGAATGGCAGCCCAATAGAGAGACTGCTCGCGTTGCTTATTTGGCTGGGACTCTGTCACGGGCGTGAAAGGCGTAGCTGGCACAACAGTCGGGTGAGGCGTCAAGGGCAGGCGCTCCAAAGCCAGGTTTTCCAGCCGATTGTCCATGGTGACTCCGTTCAGGTGCCCCACCCTGAACCCCGGGGCAACTCCACCAAAATGCCGCTCCCTGTTCGATGTGACCATGCCACACGGATAGTCATTAAAGAGAAATGGAACCAGACCGGTCAAACACACAATCGTCACATAAAAACTACAAAGAGCTTCCTCCTTGCCTTCATAATCCGTGGCTTTTTCACGATTATACTTAATGATAAAGGGTACAAAAATTCGAACTAACACAGACTGCAACACAATGAAGCAAACCGAGCATGCACACACACGCACAAACACTAGACATTGCAAGCAACTTTACATCAGCTTATATAATGGCTTAAAAACAAAACAAGCACAATGCTTCTTTTTTTGTGCCTTCTTTATCTTACAGCTCGTATGAACTACTTCATGGAAGCATGGCAGTGCCATCTCGAGCTTGATAATTTTTGCTGTTTTCCTCAAATCAGGGGTGCAACAGAGTACGTGGGTTTGAGAGCAGTCCTGGGAGCAGCCAAAGTGCCTTTGCTAGCTGACTTGGAGCATCTAGAAAGACAATTAGGCGCAGGCTTCGAGCAGCCAGAAAGGCCTTTTAAACATATCTGGAGCAGTCAGAGAGAACGTTCCCAGCAGATGTCAACTCGTTTCACATCACATGCCAATATCAGCATTTATTAAACTCTGCATTTTTTTGAACACTAAGCTAAATTGTGCGAATACCTTCTTAGTGCAATAGCAATATGGACACTCAATGGGTTTTTGCTGTCACCATTGCCATCATGTCTCATATAAAGTCCAAATCAATAACATGCCCCTCTTATCGTATGTTCTAACTGTGGGTAAATGCGCGAGCTAAAGTGACGAACGTGGCTGAAGAAGAGACACAATGAGTTGGCCCATCTCTGTCGCTCAGAGGGTGCATGCAACAAGATCGCCCGATACTTGCTGTCAAAGCAGAGAGGTCCAACCATCCTGGACATGTATGAAAAGACATGAGGAGAGATGGGGAGGGGGGAGTCACTCAGGCAGCAACTGTGAACTTCACTTCTAAAGGCATTAGCTCGGCAGCCATCAGTGGGCAGCTCGCATATACTTCGATGCACTGCGGTCTCATCGCGGAAAGACTTCAAAAAGTGTTGCTCTCTTTTGTGGGGCCCTGTACTCTTACAGCAGCGTTGTACTTTTACAGCAGCATGTAGAAATATGGAAGGCAGTATTCAAAAGTTAGCTGCCAGCTTCCCTCTATATAGCTATACAATTTTTGTTGCTATTGCATTCATTTCTTACCATTTTTTCAGTGCAAATGTGACTTCTTTAGCTATGTACAACTACAAATTTTTTTTTTTCATCACGAAAGCATTATGCTGGGGTCTTCCGACTTCTTTAGCTATGTACAGTCGCGCTTTCTTTTCATCACGAAAGTGTTTTATGCTGGGGTCCACCAAGACTTTAGGGTCGTATTTTTGTCAAAAATATTGTTACGGAAGAGAGACGCCGTATCGACGAGGCTGTGGATGAAATATATTTCAAAGCAGCAGCAGCAGCAGCGGCGTGACCGGTAGACCAGACACCGAGCGGAGACCACTCTTCGTCTTCCTCGTCAGGCACACACACGCGTCGCCCCCTAGAATCTCAATTTGTATGCATGTAGCATAATCCTCGATGGCAGAAGCGCCGTCTCGGCGCATCTAAATGTCAACGTCACTAGGAGAGTGGTAGGGCTTCAAGCGCGCAACATGTACAATATCGGTAGCCTGTTGGGCACATGAAGGCGATGGGGCGACAGGACCAAATTCATATGTCACAGGAGTAACCACACGAAGGACTTGGTATGAACCTGTGTAGCGAGTAAGCAGTTTTTCTGACAAGCCAACTTGACGGGTCGGAGACCAGAGCAGGACCAAAGAACCGGCCGGGAAGTGTACGTCGCGGTGTCGTTGGTCATACAAACGCCGTTGCTTCTCTTGAGAGGTCAGAAGGCGAGTACGGGTGATTTCGCGTGCGTGACCGGCCCGAGTGATAGCGTCCATGGCATATTCACTGGTAGGTCCCGCAGGGGACGGTATGACGGCGTCTAGAGGCAATGTTGGTTCTCGGCCAAACAGCAGCAAAAATGGAGAGTAACCGGCAGTGTCATGGCGCGAAGAATTATAGGCAAATGTGTCGTACGGCAACGCAAGATTCCAGTCGGTGTGGTTAGTAGAAACATACTTAGTGAGCATGTCTGTAAGAGTTTGATTTACACACTTTGCGAGTCCATTGGTTTGCGGATTGCATGACGCAGTCAGCTTGTGTCTCGTTTGAGAGGACTGCAAGATGTCGGCTATCACCTTTGACAAAAAGGTGCGGCCACGGTCTGAAAGCAGCTGTCGTGGGGCTCCGTGTTGCAAAATCACATCCTTGAGGGGAAAGTCGGCGACGTCTGTGGCCCAGCTTGTTGGAAGAGCTCGTGTAATGGCATAACGCGTGGCGTAGTTGGTGGCCACAGGTATCCACTTGTTACCCGAGGAAGACAAGGGGAAAGGGCCAAGTAGGTCCAAGCCAATGCGGAAGAACGGTTCTGACGGAATGTCAAGTGGTTGAAGGCGTCCGTCCGGCGGGAAGTGTCGATGGCGTTTTTCGGCGCTGACATTTCTCACAAGCCGCAACCGTATGTTCTGACTGAGCGTGCAAGCCCTGGCCAGAGGAAGGGTCGGCGTTTTCAGTCGTAAGTGCGTGAGACACCAAGGTGACCCGCAGTCGGAAGGTCATGAAGTTCATTTAGAACTTCCGAGCGAAGGTGTTTCGGAATAACAAGCAGCAGGGCCGGTCCATCCGGCTCGAAATTTTGGCGGTATAATATATCATCGTGGAGCACGAATGAGCGATGGGACTGATTGGAAGATGGTGATTCGAGGCGCTTAATGATAACACGCAAGGACGCATTACGGCGCTGCTCGTCCCCGATGCATGTCATTTGCGAAAGAGAAAAGACGCAAGGGCCGGTGTCGGTGTCAAGTATAGTGCTCGACTCAGCAACCGGGTAGCGGGACAGACCGTCTGCGTCTTGATGTAGGCGTCCGGACTTGTACGTCACCGTGCAGGTATACTCTTGCAGTCGCAGAGCCCAGCACCCGAGCCGGCCAGTAGGATCCTTCAGTGACGTAAGCCAACATAGCGCATGATGGTCAGTTATTACAGAGAAATTTGTGCCATATAAATATGGGCGGAACTTTGAGACTGCCCAAACAAGAGCGAGACATTCATGCTCTGTAATGGAATAGTTGCGCTCAGAAGCTGTGAGGAGGTGGCTAGCGTAGGCGACAACTCGGTCGTGTCCCCGTTGGCGTTGGGCTAGGACGGCTCCAATCCCATGACTACTAGCATCGGTTCAGACTTTTGTCGGAGCGAATGGGTCAAAGTGAGCCAATATAGGTGGAGTCGTCCGAAGCGTGATTAGATGAGAAAAAGCAGCAGCTTGGTTGGTACCCCACATAAACGCGACGTCTTTCTTCAGAAACTCAGTGAGAGGTCGAGCGATCGTTGCAAAACCTTTCACAAACCTTCTAAAGTAGGAACAAAGTCCTACAAAACTCTGGACATCTTTAACTGACCGAGGTACAGGAAAACTGGTGACTGCACGAATTTTCTCCGGGTCCGGCTGTACACCCGATGCATCGACAAGGTGAACCAACACTGTAATTTGCCAGCGTCCGAAGTGGCACTTCGACGAGTTTAATTGAAGGCCTGCAGTGCGGAATATGTTGAGAATCGCTGACAAACGTTGAAGGTGGGTCTCAAATGTTGGGGAATATACAAAATCGTCAAGATAACAGAGACATGTTGACCATTTGAACCCTTGTAGCAGAGAGTCCATCATGCGCTCAAACGTGGCTGAGACGTTGCATATCCCAAACGGCATAACCTTGAACTGATATAGGCCGTCTGGAGTTACAAATGCAGTCTTCTCTTGGTCTTTTTCGTCGACAGTCCAAGTGCTTCGGCAGTAGTGGGAGACATGGCCAACTCGGTGACAGCGGAAACACATTGGCTTGTCGACTCCGTCAGATTGCGGGATCTGGGCAGAGTGTATGGGTCGTGGCGTGGTGCATTTATTGGCATCGGTCTGTAGCCCGGTCGGGAGACGGAGCAGGCAACAGGAAAACCAAAGTTAGCAATTTCTTGCCGCACAACTGCCTGAATAACTGAGACCGCCGGAGGTGTTTGCACGGTGCCCTGGTCGAGTGGAAGGGCATGAAACGGTGCCGGACGGGCCGCCTCAAGCTCGCGCCGAACGATGCGTGTGACGTTCTCGTGCAAGGATGGTGCGGCACCGAAATCGGTACAAGTTGACATGACAGCCGTGTTAGGGAGCCGTGAAAATTGAGGCCGAACTTAGCGTTTTTTGGCCATTTCGAAGCGGCAGCATTCCTTAATTATATAAACGGTCGTGACGTTGTTGTACACGAGCAAGTTGAAAGCGTCGTCCGCGATGCCCTTGAGTATGTGGCCCACCTTGTCACTCTCGATCATTTGCTCGTCCACTTTGCGGCACAACGCGAGCACGTCCTGTATGCACAAGACATACGACTCGGTTGATGACTGTACTCGGGTGGCGAGTTCTTGTCGTGCGGCCGTTTGTCGACCGGACGGGTCCTCAAAGATGTCACGTAGTCGGTCCTTGAAGATGTCCTAGCTGGTGAGCTCGGCCTCATGAGCGTCGAACCATACATGCGGAGTGCCATCCAAGTAAAAGATTACGTTGGCGGGCATCATGGTTGGGTCCCATCGGTGAGATAGGCTGTGGATGGATGAAATATATTTCAAACCAGCAGCAGCAGCGACGTGACTGGTAGACCAGACACCGAGCGGAGACCACTCTGTGTTACTCGTCAGGCACACACGTGCGTCGCCCCCTAAAATCTCAATTTGCATGCATGTAGCAATATGATGATAGAATAGATGCCACCAAACAAGAATGAAAAATACTTATAGAAAGATGTTCCCACGCCCAGAATTGAACCTCTGACTCTACCACTTGCAATGGTATGCACACGACGCTCTACCGATTGAGCCACAGCTATCAAAGCAGACTAT